GGGAACTTCATGTCCAGACTAGGTTTCAAATGGATGAGTAGGAGGCTGCTGGCTGAGGAAGGCTTTTTTTCTGGGCGAAGCCCTGGAGGACTGGAACAGCGTGCTGCGTGGGGACAGCGGTCAGTTTGGGGATGCCGAAGAGCAACTTGGGGGTGGGAGGTAAGCCCGGAGACTCCGCTAGAAGGCAGAGTCTTAGGTGCTGGAGTTCCAGGCTGAGGGGGTGGGGTGTTGTTCTGAGGGAAACGTGGGAGAGCTTTGAGCAGGGGACCAGCAGGATCGGTTGTGGGATGAGAGAGGATGGCAGCTGAGCTGGGCGAAGGCTGTGGGGGTGGAGGGGGGATGGGTTTGAAGGTCACTGAGGACGAAGAAGGAATGGTGCTTAGTTTCCCTTCATTGACTCAGCAAATATTTCCTGAGGTCTCCTGGGTACTAGGCCCGTTGCTCTGAGATGCTGGGTATACAGAGAAAGTCAGGCCCAGCTCGGCCCTCGGTGGGCGGGTGGGGCTCCTAGTCTGGTGGGAGGACAGATGAGTGGGCAGGGAGGGCTCCATGAGGTCAGGGGCTCTGCCAGCTTCTGTCGTCACAGGGAGCAGCAGCAGCAGAAAAGGATGGGACAGAGGAGGGTGGGACCAGGACTGGGTTTTGGGACTTCCCTCAGGGGCCCCTGTGGGGGGGACTAGAAAGGGGGAGAGAGATTGGAGGGTGGGAACCAGGGAGGAACGACATGGGGACAGTGTCAGACATGCCAGAAAATGGGGGGAATGGGCACATTAGTGAGGTGGAAGAACTTGCTATAGGGTGATCAGTAGAAGGGAGGTGGAGTGGTGGGGTTAGATGCAAGTTTCGTGGGAGATGGGGCTTTAGTTGAGGGGACGCAGAACTGGTTGGGGGTAGTGGAGTCTAGGGTTCAAAGGCCAGAGAACAAGAAAGAGGTAGGAGGTGGGCATAAGGAGGGATATGAGGGAAGAGAAGTAGGAAGAAGGACGAGGACAATGGAGTCCCAAACTAGGTGAGTCACAGAGACAGAAAAAGGAAGGTGACCCAGAGGGGAAAGAAAAAGAGGCAGGAGGGACTGACACAAAGATACACAAATCAGAAGTGAGGTGGCTCGGAGATGCTCGGAAAAAATACACAGAGAGGCAGAACCACAGAGAAAGATCCCAAGAGCTGCCCGGAAAGAAACGTGGAGACTCAGAAGCAAGTGTGCTGAGTAACGAGCCACTTCTGTTGCTTGGTTTCTTCTTCTCTGTCTTCAAGAAGTATTCACCGAGCACCATCCTGCTCCAGACTCGGGCGAGGCCCCAGGCGTTGGCTGAGCAGACGGTCCAAGTCCTGCTCTCCTGGAACTCACAGGAGAGGCAACCAGAGAATCTGGGTTACAGGGAACAGCTTGAAAAGCTTAGCAGAATGTTCTGGCAACCATGGGGCAGAGCCCCAGAGGAGACCTCCCTGCAGAAGTAACCTTTACGCAGGAGTTACAGGGGTTATGAGGAGAAAAGGGACAGAGCAAGCCTTCTGGCCACCAAAGGTGGCACAAAACCCCAGGGGAGCCCCAGGTTGGCCAGGATGCTCCGGGGTGGCAGGAAAATCAGGGTGAGGTCAGAACAGGCTGGGGGCCCAGCAGGTAGGACCTTTGCAGCCCTGGGAAGTAACTTGAATTTCTAGACTCCCTGGGATGAGCACAGGCCCGAGGACTCGATTATAGTTTCATTAGAAACCAAAACAACAGCACCACGTGGCTGTGCTGAGAATCGACTTAGGAGTGAAGGTGTCAGTAAGGAGTCAGGGGGCTGTTGTCCTTGGTGGCCTGGCCCCCTGTGGAGTCTGTGGGGGTGGAGAGAAGGGGGATTCTGGAGGCGGAACCTATAGGAATGAATTGGGTGCTGCAGGAGAGGGAGGGAGGAAGCAAAGTGAGAGCAAGAGGGAGCTCATATTTGGGAACACACCAGGGGGCCCGGGGGAAGAAGTCAGGATTCCCGTGGAGGGATCCAGCGCCTTCCTTTGCAGAGGCCTGTGAGAAATCCAAGTCGGGGTATCAGGTCGCCCGCTGGAAATGTGAGACTGGAGCTGGGGGAGAGGTCATGGCTGGAAATATACATTTTGGAAAGGTCAGCCTATAGGAGACATTTAAAGCCGTAGGACTGGATGGGGTGACCTCGGAGGTGAGTGCGGACGGAGAAGCAACCATGGCGGGGGGGGGGCGGCTGACCATGAGGTGGGCGGAGATCAGGAGGGAACCCCACAATGCTGCTGAGAACAAGAATCCCCAAAGCAACCAACCAGTTGGGTTTGATGACATGATCCTGAGAAGAAGTCACTGCAATACAAGGGTGGGGACCAGGGCCCTGCTCTGTAGGAAGAAAGAATGAAGGAGGGAGGGTGGAGACCAGGTCATCCTTTTGGTGTGAAAATGACAAGGATTTCCATACCAAAGAAAGTTCGTGCCCTTTCTGTGAAAGGAGAGACGGGGAGACGGGGGACAGAAAAAAGCGCCCTGAAGCGAGGGAGCCGTTACAGCGGACGGATTGGGAAAGATGGGGGACCAGGGCCTAGAGGGGACTTGGATTCAGGGGGCAGGCGGACTGTCCCCAGGGCTGCCCTGCCCTGCCCCACAGCTGGACTTCCTCCCGGAGACTGTCGAGGCCTGCGAAGACCCAGTGACGCGAAGACAGAAACAGGTTTTACTCATTCCTTTAAGACATTTCCTGAGCAGTCCGGAGACAAGCAGGACGGCCAATGGGATGGCAGAGGGGTGCGCTTGGAGGGGGCGCTCTCCCTAGCTTGGGAGGGGGCGTCTGTGTTACCAGCTGACTTCGCCCATTCATCTATTTGCACATCCATTCACCCACTCCCCTCAGGCGCATTTCCTAAGGCCTCCTGCGTGGTCCTGGGGGGAGCGGTGCTGGGGCCCACGAGGTGAGTTCCTCCTGCGCCTGACCTGTACCCCAGGCCCAAAGGGAGCCTTCGGAGGCACAGGGCCGCATCCCAGGGCAGGCGATGGACGCTCCCCCGGTAGCGGCACAGGGCGCGGCGGTGCCGAGAGCGGGGAGCACGGAGAGGGCCGGGGCGCGCCAGCTGGCGGGGGCAGCCGCTCCTGGGCAGAGGAGTTGGTGAAGGTGGGTCCCACCGAGGCCATTGGCTCAGGGGCTGAGGGCAGGGGTGAAGGGGTGAAGACCGGGCCCTGCCGCCGCTCCACACGGCCGTCCTGCCCCTGCCCCTGGGGGAGCAAAACTGCATGGAAAGCCCTCCGGGGGGCCCCGTCTAATAAACTCGATGAAGAGGACCGTGGCTCCGACTCCCGTGCTCCCAACAACCGGCCTGACCTTGCTCCCTCCTGCAGAGCCAGGGACCGAAGCACAGGACTCTCTTTCCACCTTCAACACCCCAGGTTCTGGGCCCCAGCCCTTTGCCACTCAGACCCAGGGGTCCAGGCCCCCGGCCCCTCCTCCCTCAGACCCAGGGGTCCAGGCCCCCGGCCCCTCCCCCCTCCCCCCTCAGATCCAGGAGAACGAGCTCTCCGTCCCCTTCTTCTGACCCAGCAGTCAAGAGTCGACGCCCCCGGGTTTCTGCTCCTTCCGGGACCCGAGGCCCCTTCTCCCTCGGACCCAGCAGTTCAGGTTCCCAGCGGGGCCTGTCCGGGACCGCAAATCTAGGTTCCCTGTCCTGCTCCCTCTCTCGCCACATGGGAAGACGGACCCTCAGCTCCCAGGCTTTCCCCTTAAGGAAATAAATGTGCCTTGAGGCTCCAGCCGGGTCAGGACCCGGCCCAGCCCCTCCCCCGCCCCCTCTTCCCCTTAAAATACCCGGGATCCCTATGGCAACAGGCGCCAGGGCGACAGGTGCTGGTGTTATTTACGGGTCGAGCCCGAAATAGCCGGGCGGGTGGGGGTGGGCGCCCGGGGGCGAGGCCGCGGCGAGCGCAGCGCAGGTCCGGCGGCCCGGCAGCAGGCGGTGCGGAGCCCACGGTTCGGAGGATCGCGGAGCTGGGGCCGGCGCGGCGCCCAGGCAGGAGGGCGAGAGGGGTCCCTGTCCAGGAGCCGGGGGTGGGAGGCCTGCGGGAGGTGCCCGGCCTGGAGCTGAGCCTGGAGCGGTCCGGGCCGGGCAGGCCCTGGGAGCCCGGGGGAGGGGAAGCCCAGTGATTCCGAGGGGACACAGAGTCCCTTCGGGGTCCCAGCTGCCCTTTGAACCGCGGGGGGCCTCTGTCCCCCTTTCCTGAGCCGCAGGGCGGAGCAGAGCCTATCTGAGCCCCAGTGGGGACCCCAGGTCCCTCCCCTGGGCCCTGGGGGAGCCCCAGCCCCCTTCTGCGGACTGCGCCGTGTCCCTCAGCCATCGGGCCCCTCTCTCGGGCCCCTTGCGGACCTCTGATCTCTCTCCTCTGAAGTCCAGCAGGGCCCCAGCCAAGCCCCCTTTTCTGAACCCCAGCCAGACTCTGCTATTTCCTTCTGTGAATGTTGCGGGGCGGGGGTCCCACTGCCTGTCTGAGACCCAGAAGAAGTTCAGATCTCCCTCCTAAGCCCCAGAGGGGACCCAGCTCCTACCTCCTCAGACCCCGAGCCCGCAAGACGCCGGGAGGGCCTCCTTTCAAACACACAGGACCTCAGCTTCCTCTCTTGGGCACCGCGAACTCTGAGCCCGGTGGGGACCCGGAGCAGCCCCCTAGAGCTGTGGGCGACATCTGCCCCTGCCTGTGGAGCCTTCCGGCCCCCTCCCTGGCACCCAAGTTCTATCTCTGGACCCCAGGGGACCTTGGTTTCCCCCCGGGTCCCCTCGTCTTGGCTGAGTTTCGGCGGACATCCCAGGCCCTGCCCCTCGGGGGAGGCCGGGTCTTGTTTTTTCTCTTCTGAGATCCGGGCGCCCCCTCGGCTTTCCCGTTGGAGGTTGCAGGGAGATTCAGAAATTCCTTTTTTTATAGTCCAGTGGAAGCAGCCGCGCACCCCCTTCAAGCCCCCCCCGCCTTCCCCACCCCCGCCCCCTCCAAGCCCTCTTAGTTCAGTCTCCTCCGCCCCGGACGATGATGTGGTCCAACTTCTTAATGCAAGAGGAGAGCCGGCGTCGGGCCGAGGCCGGGCGGCGCGGGCGCGGGCAGGGCCAGCCCGGGCTGTCGCCGGAGCAGGAGGGGAAAATCAAGCTGGTGCTGCTGCTGACCGCGGTGGGCGCCACGCTGGCCGTGCTGGCCGTGGGCACCGAGTTCTGGGTGGAGCTCAACACCTTCAAGGCCAACGGCAGCGCCGTGTGCGACGCCGCCCACCTGGGGCTGTGGAAGATGTGCACCAAGCGGCTGTGGCAGGCGGACGTGCCCGCGGGCCGGGAGACGTGCGGCCCCGCCGAGCTGCCCGGAGGTGAGGCTGCCCCCAGGCTTGGACCCCAGGCGGCGAGAGAGCCCGGGTGGGAGGAAACGGTGCCCCAGGGACAGCCCACGCCCCCGGGAGGGAGCTTGCACCCTCGGGATCAGCCCGAAACCACGCCACCCTGTGCTTCCCAGCGGCCTTGCCCCAGGCATAGAGGCTTAGAGAGAGAGTGTGTACCCCAGACTAGCTTGTTCCCTAGGCCAGCCTGTACCCCCAGGTCAACTGTACCCCTAAACCAGCCTTAGCATCAGAAAAGCATATACCCTTAGGCCAGCCTGTCGTCTGGGACCAGCCTGTGCCCCAGACCATCCTACGACCTCCAAAGCCCCTGCACCCCAGTGTAGCCTGTGGTCCCAGGCATCTCTGCCTCCCCAGGCCGGCCTGCACCCCCTGAGAGAGCGTAGAGAAAACGCGTGCTCCCACCCATGGCCCAGGTCCCGGCACCCAGACTGTGACTCCAGACACGGCTTGTGCCCTCAGATGGCCTGGGTGCCCCAGAAACACCCACACCCCCGGGACAGCCTGCACCCCCAGCCCCCAGCCCCCGGGAGGCAGGCCGCCTTGACCCCCCTCTCCCCAAGCAGAGTCCATGCCTGTTCCCACCTACTGATTTCCACCAAAGGGAGTTCTCACCGCACGCCTCCCAACACCCCAGGGCAGCCCCCCGGCTTCCTGGGAAATGTTCCCCTTCAGGTCCCACCCTCTCACCCCCAAAGGCCCAGGCTGGCCACCCCACCCTGCTCGTTTTCTCTGACAGGCACCCCACGCCCTCCCTTCCCCACCGAGCAGCTCTTCAGCCCTAACAATGCCAGGGAGCCACCCCCTGCCTCTCACTCTTCCTGGCAGGTACCTGCCGTGCCCTTTGCTTCTATCGAGGGGACACCCTGCCCGCCTTGGGCACCAGATCTCACGCCACCTCTGCCGACCGGAGGAGACTATCTGCCTCCCCTCTGCGCCCATTCAGGACCTTACACGCGTGATCGCCAACACTCTTTACTGTCCGAAGGCTGTCCTGTAACTTCCACACCCCTCAGAGACCTCCTGCCCCTCTGGGCTGCAGTGGGCCTCCCCTCCTGCTTTACTTCCCCAGGTGTGGAGGAATCCTGCATCCCAGGGGGCCCAAGCAGGATGAGCCGAGGCCTGGGTAGCCGAGTGGGATGTGCAGCATCCCTGTTGCCTGAGGTTCCCGCCCAGCCAGCATCCAGATTAATACCTCGCTTGTGCAGGTGGGCTACTACTTGGCCCCCCAGATCCTCAGGCGGGAAGTTCCCAAGCTTTTGTCAAATGGGATGCCCCGGTAATAAAAATATTAGATGCTTCTGTAGGGCCCGGCTCTGTTCCAGGTACTTACCATGCAAGGGGCTCTGCTGGTGCCCCCAGGCTTCTCACATGGGCTTTGAACCCTGGTCATCTCTGTCCTTAGCAGCTCCACTATGTTGTATCTCACCAGTCCGCAGAGGTGTCCCCAGGGTCCTCACTGCACTGGAGGGGAGGGCCCGGCCCACCACCCTGCAAACGATGGGGTCCCTCACATCTCTTGCTGTCCTCTGGTTGGTCAAAAAAAAAAAAAACTTCCACCGTGTTACAAAGCCATTACCGTCACCCCATTCAGAGGATGTCACGCCTCTTTCACGATTTCAGAAACACCCCACACATGCCACTGCCTATCAGGGGGCATTCCACGGGGGCTGCAGGGAGGTGACCCTTCGACCACTCTTTCCCAAGTTGGAGGTGCCATATCCCTTGGGGCTAGAGACAAGATGTCCGAGATTATGAGTAGCCAGAATGGGATGCCAGACACCTCACACCGTCCCAGAACGAGGCACCACGCCCGCCTGGGGGGACTTCCCAGTTCCCTCGTGGCTGTTGGCCATGTTTCCCCATTGACTGCTAACAGGAGGGTCCTCTCCACTCTGCTGCATGAAATGTGAGGACTGTCCCTGCTCCGGAAGGGACGTCTCATGTCTTCCTGCTTCCCTCCGACCCCCAGGGGGAGTGTCCCGCCTGGCTTGACTCCGTTTATCTCTTCTCCTCCCTTTTCTCTTCAGTACAATGAGGGCAATAAGAACGGCTCGCAGGGCTGCTACGTGGATGAGCGAGTTAGTGCAGGCCTAGTACCGGGAACAGAGCCGGGCGCTGCAGAGGCACCCAATGCATATGTTACCTCCACATTCTCCTTCAGTCTGGAAAGCCCCTTCCCATTCCTCAGACTGCCTGGCCCCTCTATTTCTTTCCCCCTTCTTATTCTCCACCTCTCTCCTCCCTTTCCATGCCTCCGTTTCCCCATCTGTAGACCAAGAAAGTTGGGCAAGGTGAATTCTGCAGGAGGTTCTGGCTTTAAAATGCAGCTCGGAAAGTAGTTTTGGTCTTGCTTTTCTTTTTTTCTTTTTAAAGTTTACTTTTTCTTGGACCCAAAAACAGAAATTTGGATGAATCATGCTCTTCAGGTGATGTCACAAAGTCATTACCAGCTTTTGCAAGATCCTTCTTCTGCTCTATTTAACATTGTTATTCTTTTATTTCATTTCTTTCCAACTCATCTCTTTAATGGGTTTGATATGCATCCATGGATATGTCTTTCCACTTGGAAAATATATAGTGTTATTTTGGACTTGTAGGTGTTTTAATTTACATAAATTATATCAGGCTGTAGGTTTTTCCTGCTTTTTAATTTTTTTCTTCTCAAATATCTCTAGGTTGCTTTCTGTTAGTCTTCTGACTCCCTGTTATTGTAAACATATATGTTCCTGCATAGGGTTTTTGTCTGTATGTATCCCCAGAAGTAAAATGGCTGGTTATAGGGTATGAATGTACTTCAACTCATAAAGTCTGTCCGCGTGAGTTCCACAAAGACTAGCACAGGCATGCCTCAAAGATATCATGGGTTCAGGTCCAGCCCAGAGCAATAGAGCTAGTCACACAAATTGATTGGTTTCCTATACACATAAACGTTACGTTTACACTCTACTGTAGTCCATAAGTGTGCAATAGCATTATGTCTAAAAAAAAAATGTACAAATCTTAATTTAAAAAGACTCTATTGCTAAAAAAAAAAAAATTTTAGCCATCATCTGAGCCTTCAGTGAGTCGTAATGTTTTTTTTAGCTGGTGGAGAGTCTCACCTTGATGTTGATGAAAACACAGCATCTTCAAAGTGTAATAGAACAAAGCACGCCCGTACCAGTTCATACTCCCAGCTGCTTCCTCTTATCCTACCAGTGCTTGATATTATCCTTTTAATATTTGCCAATCTAATTGCTCTTAAGTGGCATCACCCTGCTGACTAGAGGTGTGTTTCTGCGACCCCTGGTGAGGTGGAGAATCTCTTCACGTGCTTGTGAGTCATCCAGGCCTCCTCTTCTGTGCATTGACTATTCATATTCTTTGCCCATTTTCAACTGGGTCACCTCTCTTTTCTGGCCAGCCTGCAGGACTCCTTTGCGTACTCTAGGGAATCCTTTCTGAGATAAGAATTTCTTCTGTTAACCTTCTGTTGCCTGGATCTTGGTGTCCTTTGCTGAATAAAGCGATTATCCATTTCTAACACCACTTGACTCTCAACAAACCCGTAGATGGAGCCAAAAAAGAGATTGTTATCTCATTTAACAGAGGAAGAGTCAGAGGTCTCTGGGAGGTCAACAGCCCACTCACAGCATCAGCTCTGGACCTCAAGTCTCTGCATTGGAATCCCAGCCCCTGGGTAGCCTGTGTGACAGCAGGTGGCTTCACGGAGCATCATGTTTCTCTTCTGTCAGGGGTGCTAATGCCGTATGTTTAGGTTACTGTGAGCTATGTTTCATACCCAGTCCTGACCTTACACGAGGGACCTCCATGTCCTCACTTCCCTTTCTCTCTCTCTCTCCTGCTCCCACAGAAGCCAACTGCACCTATTTTAAATTCTTCACCACTGGGGAGAATGCACGCATCTTCCAGAGAACCACAAAGAAAGGTGAGAACGTCCCCCTCTGCGGGGGACTGGTGATAGGGACACGCTGACCATGTTAGAGGAGTTGTTGGTCACTTTGTGCTCTTCTCTGCTTTGGCCCAGGATGGGCTCAGCTCCTATGTCCTTGGAAGGTCCCGCCTTTGGGAGGGTGGTGGCAGGGAAGTCAGGCTCCTTCCCCAGAGCCCAGTGCCCGACCCTCCTGCCCCAGCTCCGCGTTTGCCGCACGCTATGGAACTTCGAGCAAGTCACAGCCCCTCTCTGCAGATGGTACTTTGACATCTCATGAGTGTGCATCTACCACATGCTAAGCATGGTGCTGTATGTCCCGCTGATAAGATCTCCATCCTTATCACACCCTGCAGGCAGGGGCTTTATCTTAACCCCCTGATGAGAAAACGGGTGTTCGTATAGAATCTTCTGTAGAATGAAAATGTTCTGTGTTTGTGCTGGCCAATATGGCAGCCACTGTTCCCATGTGGCTGCTGAGCACTTGGGGTGTGGCAGGCGTGACTGAGAAACGATTTTAAATTTTATTTAATTTCAACCCATTTACAATGGAAAGGCCACTTGGGGCCAGTGGTGACCAGACTAGACAAGTCAACGCGTAAGGCTTTTCCCTTTCTGTTCTAACTGTAGCCCCTTCATCACCCCCCAGGATCAGTATCCCCACCTGTAAGAGAATTGTGAACCCGTCACGAATCGTATCTGATTTAGTCAGGTGATGCAGCTAAGGCAGACACTGTGGCGTCTGGCACACAGTAGGTCCTCAGTGAACACTGGCTCCTTACCCTCTCTACTCCTTTCTCTCTTGTCTGGATGCTCAGTGAGTTCGGACAAATCACCGTGACGTGTCCAAATACCTCTCTGGGATGGTAAAATAACCATAGCGCGCATGTACGCGACAACTGCTGGGCGCCCGGCACTGCGCTGGGCGCTGTCCACCGGCGGCTTCTAGTCCTCACAACAGCCTGATCCAATAGGATTGCTTTTTTCAGTAGGGATTTTGACCCTGGTTTTCTGCAGGAGAAAACTGAGGCTCAGAGAGGTTCTGTGACTTTACCAGAATCTTCCAGCTGGGACGTGGCCAGAGAGAATCTGGACTTGGATCACTCCACGGTTACGTACCTCCTACATTGTCATGCACACATCCACTGCCTGTCTCCTGACCTGGGGACAGATGGTGACCCGATCATAAGTGGTCACTGGTAGTCCCCATCTCCTTCTAGTTCTGGCTCTGTCTGTGCCCCTCTTTGCTGTGTGACCTTAGGCAAATAACTGGTCCTGTCTCAGTCGTATTTCTTTCAACAGTATAAGTCAATCATTGGCCTGGATGATTTTCTACTTGAAAAGTCTTTTCTGATCCTGAATCTCCCATTTTTCTGGTTCTGGGTCCCTGTCAGGGAGTTCTCCCCACTTCCTCCATCCCATGTTCTCCATTGCTTCCCCTTCCCTCCTTGCAGAGGTGAATCTGGCAGCTGCAGTGATAGCGGTGGTAGGCCTGGCAGTCTTGGCCCTGGGGTGCCTCTGCATCATCATGGTGCTCAGCAAAGGCGCAGAGTTCCTGCTCCGAGTTGGAGCTGTCTGCTTCGGCCTCTCAGGTGAGGGCTGGCAGCCTGGAGACTGAGGAAACTGCATGCTGGGAGGTGGGATCCTCAAGCACTGTTGCATGCGGGGAGGGACGGTCTGCAAGAACTATTGCATGCTGGGAGGTATGGTCTGCAAGAACTGTTGCATGCTGGTAAGTAGGGTATCCAAGCACTGTTGCATGCTGGGATGTGGGACCTCCAAGCACTGTTGCATGCTGGGATGTGGGACCTCCAAGCACTGTTGCATGCTGGGATGTGGGACCTCCAAGCGCTGTTGCATGCTGTGGGGCACAAGGGCTGTAGGAGGCTCAGCTATGAGAGTTCTAAGTTCTGTTGTCGGCTGGGAATGGGAGGGTCTCCAAACACTTGTTTAGATTTGGACCGGGGGTGTGCAAGGACTGTTGCATTCTTGGAGTTGAGGGTCCAGAAAAAAAAAAAAATGCTGCACCTTGTGGAATATCGTTCTCATTGGATCAAGTGTTTTCTAATGTGGATTGAAAGGGCATTAATTATAGAAACAGCTGTTTGTTAGGGCTGCCGTAACAAAGCACCACAGACTGTGTCACTTAAACAACAGCCATGTATTTTCTCACAGTCCTGGAGGCTGAAAGTCTGAGTTCAAGGTGTCAGCAGGGCTGGTTCCTTGTGAGTCCTCTCTCCACGGCTTGTAGACGGCCCTTTTGTCCATGTCCTCGCGTGGTCGTCCCTCTGTGTGTGTCTGTGTCCTAGTCCCTTCTCCTAAGGGCAGCAGCCATATTGGATGAGAGCCTACCCTAATGACTTCATTTTAATTTATTTCTTCGAAGACCCTATCTCCAAATACAGTCTCATTCCAAGGCCCTGGACTCCAAGACGTGAGCTTTTGGGAGGATGCAAGTCAGCCCACAACCACACATCTACCTGATTATTGTCCCTCTCTCCTGGGATGAAGCACCAGGAGGATAGGGCCTTTGTCAGTCTCATGTATATATTCTATAGTGAGAGCTTAATTAAGATCTGTTCAATGGCCCCGGTTGGGTGGCTCAGTTGGTGAGAGCGTCAACCTGATACACCAAGGTTGCAGGTTCGATCCCCAGTCAGGGCATGTATAAAAATCAACCAATGAATACATAAGTAAGTGGAACAACAAAATAAATTTCTCTCTCTCTCTAAAAAAGAAAAGAAAAGAGAGAGAAAGATCTGGTAAGAGAATGAAGGAGACTGGACAATGCCTCTTCATCCAGTTATTTTTTTTCCACGTCCAGTGTCCTCATGCTGAGCTGCATTGGGCCATGAAAGACTCAAGAGAGGCATTGAACCATGGCACACAGGTTCCAGGCTACATTCCCCCGGCCCCTGATTAAACACCATGGGGGAATCAGAGGGCAAAGAGGAAGGAGGGTCAGGGACTGAGGTTGGGGCAGCCTCCAGCATCTGAGAGGGGAGGCAGCGGGGACCCATGACTATGGATGCCCTTCAGATAGTGCTGTGTGGTCTGACCCCTGCCCACCGCTGCACTTGCATTGCCCACCACTGTCCTCCTCCCCTCCCTCTCTGCTCTGCTCACACTGACTCTCTTTCTTTCTTTCCCTCAAACACACTGTACTCCATCCCACTGGGGACCTTCGCACCAGCCGCCCCTTCTGCGGCGGATAGCTGTTGCTTAATGTTGTGTATGACCGGCTTCTTTTTATTCTTTGTTTGGGTCTCAGCTGAAAAGGCTTTTCCTGGTGACACTATTTAAAGCCCTGGCTCCACCCCTGGATGCCACTCCCCTTCCCATCTCCCTGTTTTTATCTCTTTCCACCCTGCATCAGTCTCTGAAATTATCTTGTCTTCTCACGTGTGTACTTTGGAGGTTGCAACCTGGCAGCCAGCAGGCCAGCTATGGACCTTAATGGGCTTTGCTTGGCAGGCAGTGTGTAAAGATTTCTCCGAGCCCGTACAGGAAGGTTGGGTGAATTCCCATAAAAGTCATAATCATTTAGAAATTTTAGCTCTTCTTGAAAAATCAGAAGGTCTGGCCCATACAGTCACCATTTCTGAAGGGCTGCAGTTGGCGGAAGCTGAGCTTCAGTCCCCTGTCCCTATTCCCAACACACTTGCATGCTTCATTCTTGATACTTTCTCATTGTCTCTGGCAGACATTGTTTACCGCCTGTTTCCTCCAAAGTAGAATATAAGCTCCATGAGGTCAGGGTCTTGGTCTATCTTGCTCCTTCTTTTTTTTCTCTTTTCTCTTTCTTTTTAAAATCAAATTGTATTACAGTGTGACTTGACTGCCTTTCTTTTCTCTTTAAACTTTTAAAAAATGTATTGATTTGAGAGAGAGAGAGAGAGAGACAGAGAGAGAGAAAGGGAGAAAGAGAGAAACATCAACTTGTCATTCTACCTATTTATGCGTTCATTGGTTGTTTCTTGTATGTTCCACACATGACCGGGGATCAAACTCACAACCATGGCATATCAGGGCAATGCTCTAACCAACTGAGCTACCCAGCCAGGGCCCTGACTGCCTTTATTTTCATTTTGTGATCCACCGTCACTATTTTTTCAGCTTTACTGGGTTGTGATTGACAAGTAGAAATTGTGTAAATGTAAGGCATACAATGTGATGTGCTGATATACATATACATCATGAAATGAGCACCACAATCAAGCTAGTAAACACATCCATCACCTCACAGGGCACATGGTTCCTTTTTTTTTTTTTTTTCCTGAGTGTGGCGAGAACATTAAGATCTATATACTTGGCAAATTGAAAGAGACAACACAGTATCATTATCTGTAGTCTCCATGATGTACGTTAAATCTCCAGCATTTCCTCACCCTGTATAACTGAAACGTTGCATATTTTGACAAACATTTCCTTGTTTCCCCCACCCTCAGCCCCTGGAAACCATCATTTGACTCTGCACTTCTTCAAGCTGACTATTTTAGATTCTGCAATCACTCTACAAAAGCCTCGAGGGAGCCCTAATTTGACTTTTGTGATTCTGGATTCCTGGGGTTCCTTTTTTCTTTTTTAAAGCGGCAAAATACACCTCACACAAAATTTACCATTTCCACCATTTTTACGCCATTGCATAGGCTCACACTCTGGGGCAGCCTCACCTCCAGCCGTGTCAGAACCTTTTAATCTTCCCCAGCCGAAACGCAGTCCCCATCCACACCAACTCCTGCTCCCCTCTCCCAGCCCTGGCACCCACCGTTCGACCTTCTGTCTCTAACAGTTATTGTTTCTTCTTTCTCTTTAGCTTCCCAAATTGCATCTGCTATGTAATAGGTGTTTAGTAAGTAACAGTTGTTGAATGAATGAACGAGAGGGTGCTTGGGTGTCTCCCCAACTTTCTTGTTGGAGAAGCATGTGATGGGGTGCATTGGAGGAGGTACTGAGACCCAAGCTGGAGATGCCTAGGGGCCTGAGCACACGTCCCTCCTCTGCCCACAGGCCTGCTGCTCCTGGTCAGCCTGGAGGTGTTCCGGCATTCCGTGCGAGCCCTGCTGCAGAGAGTCAGCCCGGAGCCTCCCCCGGCCCCGGCCCTGGCCTACGAGTACTCCTGGTCTCTGGGCTGCGGTGTGGGCGCCAGCCTGGTCCTGCTGCTGGGGGGCCTCTGCTTTCTCCTGCTCACCCTGCCACCCTGGCCCTGGGGTTCGCTCTGTCCCAAGCAAGGGCACAGGGCCACCTAGAGCCACCCTTGTGTTTTCTCGAAGCTCCTTCCAAACCCTTCTTTTTTATCCCTTGCCCCTTCAAGATCTTTCACCCCGGGTCCTGGAGAAACTGTTTTGTTTGCTGTGGGGCCCACATGGTTTGCACAGACCCGTCTCTCACACCCTCATCTTTTCCCCTCTGTAAATATGTTTTCCTCAGTGGCGGAATCTGGGTCGCTTGGGGGTGGGGTGGGGAGAAGCATTTCGCAAACGAGGGTCCCCAAGGAAGGTTGCTGGGGACCTGATGGGGTAACTAGGGGTGGGGGGATGAAGTCAGGGGGTGTTGGGAGGGAACTGGACCTATTCATTTTTCAGACTAGGGGAGAGCCTTCTTCTGACTCGTCTGAAATGTGGAGAAATAGGGGAGCGGGAGGGGAGAACGTCTGGGTCTGACCTCACTGTGGTCTGATTTGGGAATTAAAGGTTTGGAAACATAACAGCTTTGCTCTCGAGTCCATTTATAATGTGATTGTGCATTCTGGGGTAGAGAAAAGTTACCCCTCTGCTCCCCAGAAACACGCTACCTGCTCCTTACTAGCTCCCAAGCCACATGTCAATGAACCCATAGGGAGTGATGGGGAATTCTAAAACCTAGAGCACACACGTTGTTATGGGTTGAATGTGTCCTTTCAAAAAGTACTGTATTTTGCTGCATGCAATGAACACACCTGTGTTTTTGGCCCGAACTTTCAAGAAAAAAATTTTTCGTTTGAATTTTTAATTCAATTATTTATTTATCTTTAGAAACAAAACCAATGATTGGTATTCCAGGGTATCATTTTGCATATGGATATCATCATGACTTCCTAGAGTCACAGTTTTAATGCAGAAACATAAATAAAAGAATTAAGAACATTTATATAGATACGGAATTAGTACTACCCGTGTGAAATGCGTATCCTTATTTTCCCCTCAACAAGTTGGGCAAAAAAGTGCGCATTATACGTGGTAAAATACGGCATACATTGGGGTCCTCAGCCCCTGGACCGCGGAATGTGACCTTATTTGGAGATGCAGGTCTTTACTGAGGTAGTCACGTTAAAATGAGGTCATGAGAGTGGGCCCTGACACACGGTATGACTGGTGTCCTCACAAGAAAAGGAGATTAGGGCACACACATGCGCAGAGGGAAGATGAGGTGAAGACACACAAGCCCTCATGGCCTCAGAAGAAACCAGGCCTGTGACATGCGGACCTGGAACTTCAGCCTCCAGAACAGAGAGACAACGCATTTCTGTTGTTTAAGTCACCCAGTCTGTCGTATCTATGGCTGCCGGAGCAACCTAATACAGATTTTAGTACCTGGAAACGGGGTGCTGCTGTCACAAGCACCGAAGAATGCGGTCGCGGCTTTGGGGAGTAGGTAGGGGCTGGGGGCGTTTGGAGACACATGGCAGAAAAAAGCCCAGGTGGCCTTGAGACTGTTGGGAGGAATGTGGATGGGAAAGGAAATCCTGGGGAGGGCTCAGGAAGAAATTCGGAGAGCTGTAGAGGGAGAGCTGTAGAGGGAGAGCTGTAGAGGGCGTTTGTCATCCTAGAGAACACATTGACCATTACGAATGGAACGTTGTAGAAGCAGGAATAACAACGGCACTAGCGGTCACCGTGAATGAGGACCTCCGGTCAGTGTTCGAGTTCCTCAAGCCAAAGGGTCGGCCTCCTCCCTCACGAAGACGAATGAATGATTTCAGCTCAGAAATCTCAGCTTGGATTCTTCCCTGCATACGAGTTGCTGAAGCTGACCTCCGACCTCTCAAAGGCCAAAGTCTCTTAAACATTGAAAAATACTTAAAACATGGACTATGTGCTGGCTTATGAGTACAAATGTATTCATTCATATTCTGAGTTTGAGTCTCTTAAATGTTTCTATAATTATAAAGCATAAATGTAATTATATAGGATATTATATATAATATATTATACCAGTATTATACATAGTATATAATTGTTATATTCAATAATTCTCATTCTTAATGTTATGAATATTATATTATGACATTCTCTAAAACTTTTTTTTGACAGTTGGATCCTTTTAATACGGATTGGCAATTATAGAATTGTTAATTTTCTTAGGTGTGGTTAAAACATTTCTATAATTATAAATATAATTATATTGCATAATTATATATAATTATAACATATCATTATAATACTCTTTATCTGAGATATAGTAATAGCCTATCATATTATGTAAATATATCATTTAAATATTGCATAATGTAACATTATATTTATGCAATAGAACATACTATATAAATGTTATATTTATCATACAACATATATAACATTTCTATAATATAACACCTATCACAACATATCATAGAGATATCACATATGACACAGATATCATCACATATCATATTACATAGCTATTATCACCTTTATAATATAATTACGCACTGTCCCAGGGTTGCAAGCTGCTTCCTCCGGAGAACACTGTGGTCCGGGAAACCTTGGGCAGCCCTTTTTTGATTGGCCGAGACTGTGCCTGTCCCATTCGGCGCCGCACACTTCGTCCTCATTTCTTCTGCACTGAGCTCAGCCTAGTGCTGGAGATCCTGGCGGGCGAGAGCGGCGCACGTGGTTCACTCCTGGCTGACCTAGCAGAGGCCGCGTCATCGGCAGAGGTTGAGGTGTGGGCTCTGAACACCGCGGTCTGGTCTGAAGCCTCGCCCTGCCTTTCCTACCGGGGCAACTGGCTCCCCGTCTCTGTGCCTCCCTTTCTTCCTGCCATAACCCCCTGGGGCCCTCGTGAGGAGCACACGCCCTAACAATCCCTGCAAAGCTGCAGAAGACTCTCAGGCGCCTGGTCATAGCGCCATCAGTCTGGCTGTTAGTATTTACGAGTGGCACTTTGGGCTCAGCATACAGTAGAGTGAAAAGGGACCCCCGATGGGCTGACAGTCTGGTGCTAGAAACATAGTAATCACACAATCACACTAATGAATGTGTAATTATAAACTGAGATAAGTACTAGGATCCGGGATCATCGACAAGCTTTTTCTATTTGACTTTGTGCCGGGCCAGCCCAGGGAAACCCCGAGAAATGTCTGCTGTGGAGGAAGGACCACTGGTCATGGGGAAATGGTTCTGTGTTGAGTGGGGTCTCCTGGAGTCTCAGAAGCGAGAGAGGGGAAGAGAGGCCCCTCAGAGATAAAAGAGCTGCAATACATCATATTATGAAATAATTTAAAAAGCATTAACTTACATGTCTTCACCTTATTTTTTTTTTGTAGTGAAGCAAAACAAAAACTTCTAAAATATTTTTAAAGAAATTTCACTTATAGTTGACATTTCATATTATTTATATTAGTTCAGGGGCACAGCATAGTGGCCAGACAATTATATACTCTACGAAGTGAACACCCCAATAATTCTAGTCCCCACCTGGCACCGTACATAGTTACTACAATATTATTGACTGTATTTCCTGAGCTGGACTTTGCATCCCCGTGACTATTTTGTAGCTGCCAAACAAAATAGAAGCTCCTTGGACTATCGCCCTCCTGTCTTTTTCATATACATTTGAGAACTTTTTGGGACATACTGTCAAACTTACAGAGAAGTTGCAAGAGTCAAAACAGTGCCCTGAAGACCCACATACCCTTCACTCGGATCCACCAACGTGCGGGTGCGGGGAGGATGGCGGTGTCTCACTTCAAGCTTCAAGGGGTGGGAGTCGGGGAGCCTGAAATGGACCACTCAGTACTTAACATGGGCTGAGGTGCAGGCCCCAGAGAACCACGGGGTCTGGCTCATGTTTGAGACTTCTCAAGGGATCAAGATTATGGCTAATAGCCCTAAAGACATTGAGGGACAGTTTGGAGAGGCAGGAGAGGGAGTGGGATGGAGAGAATGAGAGAGAGGGGACGGAAGGAGGGAGGGAGAGAGGGAGGGAAAGTGAGAATGAATGTGAACGAATCAAGTGCCTTACATCCTTTCCAAGAGCGCCACCTGGAGGTGGCAGGCGAACCCTGCAGAGAGAAGATGGAATTGGCCCGGCGGACGCCCCAAGATTGACGCCGTCGTCGGCGGTGACCCGCTGGAGGAGACGCGCTTACCTGCACGGAGAACTAATTTCAGGTGAGAAGACTGCGGCCTTGAGAGAGAGGGGGAGGAAGCGTCGCAGCTCCAGGTGTCGAGATAAAGAAAAAGCTGACCAAGCTCACCGCAGGCAAAAGCAGTTCCATGTCTCAACTGGCACTGTTTTTCCTTGCCATGTGACTACAGAAAAAAACCCCAACAGGGAAACAGTGACTCTAAGTCATTATATCTAAGAAGATTGTAAAGGTCCTAGGACTTGCCTTAGGTGTCTCCCAAGGGCACAGGTAAAGAAACCTATGAGGTGGGTATGATGGGGGTGGAGGAAAAGGGAAAAAGTTGTTTTCTGAATCACCCTAGTGATCATCCCTACATCTTTACAATGGATATACTTACGACTAGGTGACCAGCTCATTCCGATTTGCCTGGAACATTCAGTTTCAGCCCTGAAATGTCCGTGTCCGGGGAAGTTCCTCATTCCCCTGTCCTGGGAATCCCCCAGTCCTGGGAAAACTGGGAGGGTTGGTCATCTTGCTCACAGCAACCCTATTAGCTACCTGTCTGATGAGAACGTGGACTTCCAGAGATTTTAAGAAATCTTCCCAAGTTCACAGCACCCAGAACTTATATCAAATACTGGCTAACAATGGGGGACACTCCTTTTCTTGTGGTTTTTGGCCTCCTCTCAGCATGTCCCATGTAGTAAGGAAGCAAACCTGGACTCCACTTGCTACTGTATTCCTGACTTCAGAAAATAAATGGTCAGGAATCGCTTTATTGAAACGAAAGACTTGTGCCCTGGCCGGGTGGCTCAGTTTGTTGGAGCGTCGTCCTGTGCACCCGAAGGTCGTGGGTTTGATCCGCGGTCAGGTTTCATCCTGGGTGGGGGCAAATGTGGGAGGCAACCAATTAATGCTTCTCTCTCACATCGACGCTTCTCTCTGCACCTCCTCCCTCTCTCTCTCTCTCAGCAGACATGTCCTTGGGTGAGGATTTCAAAAAATAAAGACAACTTACTCTCCTAATCTAAGGAGGGTAAATTCTAGAATGGATGTCCGTGAATGATTTCTAGTAGAGTCATCCATTTTAATCGTCAAATATTTGTCCAGATG